CAATCTAACTTTTTTTTTTTTAAAATACACTCCCAAAAAGAATACCCCATTCGATGAATGTACAGCAATGCATGCAACCTATGACCTGTCTTTGTAATAAAATTTTGTGCTTTATGTTATTTTTTTCAAAAATGTTTTATCATGATTTTTCATTCCCTTAGTATTTAATTTAATTTTAAACCACCCTGTAATGCTTCTTAAGTGGTTTTGGGCATGCTGCTTTTCCCTTATTTTTGTACCTCTGTTGTATGCTAAAATTACTAAATAAAAATAAAAAATAAATGCCTTTTTATACAAATTTTGACAATAGCATTTGATCCCTTCATCCCTTCTTTCTTCACCTCTGATCTCCTCTCAACCTAGTGTTTATAACCCCCACAACAAATCCCCTGCAGTGCTCTGGGGCCCTTGTTGGTTTAGTGCTTTCTCTTTTTAAAATAATCCTAAGTTGGATGAAATATCACTTTGTCTGATTTTTGAGTTTTTGGGTAATTTACACATTTCTTTTTGTAAGATAATTTGAAATTATTCATATGTACCTGTACCTATATAAACTTACTTTCCCATGGGGTTTTTGGTTTTTATAAAAGGTTTATTTAAAAATTTTTTTAAAAAAAATTTATTTTTTTGTATTTTAGATTTGTTACCCCTTTTGGACTGAAAATTATGTTCAAATTTTCCTTTTAATCATACTGAAAATGGTATACATTTCTTTTTTCGTATGTGATTTATTACAGATATGTTTTTTACCAAATTTAAAAAATTTTTTAACATGGCTTTTATAATGGGTACGCAAAATTTCTTCATATTTATACAAACCTGGATTTACAAGGCTTATGTTTCAAAGTCCTTGTGATTTGGGAATTTTCAAATCTAGAAATTTCTATTAAATTCTGTTGTGTAATGATTTGTTTCCCGTTTTAAACTGTATTTTGTATTTCAGTGCCCATCCTTAGTACTGATATTTAGAAAAAATGCCCCGAAAAAAAGAGATTTGGGAAAACTAAGGAGAAACAATTTGGGAAAAACCCAGGTTAGTTCTGGGGTGCTAAAAACCCAAAAAAAAAAGGATTCTGTGTTATGGAAATTCAAACAAAGGAAAAAATTTTAATTACAAAATTGGGTGAAATTTTTTTATTTATTTTTAAAAAACCCCCCGGTTATGCAGGTATTTCAGGCAGGGAAAAAAAAAGGGATTAAAATTTTGGTATTTCTGGCTATTTAATGCACCCCAGTTTTGGTGGCATATTTTTTGGAAAAAAGAAAAAATGCAAGCTTGCCTTCAGAATGATAATGAACCCGTAAGGGGTGTTTGTGTGACAAAGGGAGTGAAAGTGTGAATCTCATGCAACCGTCTTTTGCTCCACCACAAAAACTGACATAGCTGCCCGTTGTTTAAAGACGGCTACTTTACAATTAAAGTGGTACCTTGAGTTATGAGTGCCCAACATACGAGTTTTCTGAGTTATGAGCCATCACTTGATTGATTTTTTGCTTTGAGTTGCGAGCCAAAATCCAGTGAAAAAAATATTTACTTAAAAAAAAATATTTACTGAAAATGACATTTGGCAAGGACCCCGGCCTAAATGGCACAATGAAATTTGGTTTTGGGACTTGGTACATACTTATAAAACAATGCTAGTGTGATGTTCTCACTGGAGGTAATCATGTAATTGTATCTTTAAATTATGCACAATAAGTTGAGAATTATCACTTTTTCACTGATCGGAAGCTTCTCATAGGTTTTGAAGAACTGCCAGTTTTTCTACTTTTGTTCTTTGGGGGCCATTATTATGCAGCATAAAGATGCATTTTTAGGCCACAGTAAACTGTGGATAACTGAAACTGTAAATACCGAATCAGTGGATACGGGGATTGTACTGTATAGTTGAACCTAGATCGGGTTTAGTATAATTAGGTTGTCTGAGGGAATTATTAAATGTAATGATATTTTTTTGTTAGAAAACTCTGTTCTGTAGGTATAAGAGCACAGCATGTCAGATAATGGATTTGGGTTGTTCCAACAGCTGCAGTCAAGCTTGTGACACAGTAAATTCATTCTCTAATGCTTCAACCATTGTGCATTTTAACTATGGCTATTGTTAGTGAGGATTACCAGTATTGGGCTTTGCAAATAATCACTATAGCTTGTGTTACAAGACCAATGCTATGTAGATGAGTAAAAACCCTTTTGTTGACACTAGATTCAGATCTTTGCAAATGTTACAATGTTTAATAACACGGTGGCCCGTAGCCTGGTGGCAAAAGCTCTCGCTTCACACGCTGAGGGTCTGTGTTCAATTCCCAGCAAGGGTAGAAACATTGGGCGTGTTTCCTTACACCAGTTGTCTATGTTCACCCATCAGTAAAATGGGTACCTGGGTGTTAGTTGACTGGTGTGGGTCACATCCTGGAACAAAATTGACCTAATTTGCCTGAAATGCTCTGCATAACAAGTAGTTTTCTATATGGCTGTATGTTATTGATGTCAGTCCTGTATACCATATACATGTACTGGTAGAATTAAATATATTATTATTATTATTGTTATTATTATTTTTGATGTGTTCGGTACAAAGAAAGCCACTATCATGCCAGAGCATTTCAAGCAGACTAATCCTAATACTTAATATTTAATATTACCAATAATTCTCCCAATTACTTAAATCTTAAAACTTCAAGACAACATATAGCAAATTGATCATCTTTTGTTATACATTGTAATGTGACAAATTTGTACAACTATAATGCTTCAGTACCGATATGTTCAAATTTATTTATTTATTTATTTATTTATTATTAATTTGGACATGATACATAAAAGTACAAAGAAATACAGTGGTTAAGTGTAACATGCCAGAAGCCCCTTGTATGCAGAGTATTATGGGCAGGCTTAAAATTAAACTTAAGATTAACTAAGCAATGATATATTCAGTGGTAAACATTATTGTAAACAAATAACAATTAAGCACAAATGAGTATTTCAAAGACAGGTCATATGGTCATTTACTGAGTTACTGTGCATTCAGTAGAATGGAGTATTCTATTAGGTAATGTAATTAAAAAAACAGTTCGATAGGGTCACAGGTTATACATTTATGTGATACAGTTATTCAATATTTGTTTAGTTGTGGGTGAGTAAGTGATTTTTCAGAAGAGTCTTGAATTTATAAACAGTGTTTCTTTTATATTCACAGGTAATAAATTCCAGATTTTTGGGCCTTTTATGTGCATTGAGTTTTTGCATAGTGTGAGATGGACACGAGGAACATCACAGAGTGATCTGTGCCTTGTATTATGGTCATGTGTTCTGTTGAGGTTGGTTAGGAGGCGTTTTAGGGGAGGGTTAATATCCGAGTTAAGTGTTCTGTGTATGTAGTAGGTACAACAATAAGTATGGATGTTTTGTATGGTGAGTAGGTTTAGAGTTTTGAATATTGGTGGAGTGTGCTGCCTGTAGTGGGAATTTGTTATCATTCTGACTACAGCCTTTTATTGGGTAATTAATGGTCTGAGATGGTTTATTGTTGTTGAGCCCCATGCACAAATTCCATAGGTGAGATAGGGGTAAATAAGTGAGTGATATAGGGTCAGGAGGACTGACTGTGGAACATAGTACCGTATCTTCGATAGTATGCCTACGGTCTTGGAAATTTTCTTGGAAACTTGTTGTACATGTGTTTGAAATTTGAGTCTATTATCTATTAACAATTTCATTATTTCAAATACTCAATTGTACTTCATATTGTAAATTGTTTACTGTAATTTTTAACACTGAACCTTTCATTTCTTTGTTAATTTTAAGCTTGCCCATAATGCTTTACATACAAGGACCTTTCGGCATGTTCACCCAACTACTATAATTCATTGTACAACTATGTACAGTATCATGTCCAAATAAACTAAATGAGTATGGGTGAGACTTCAATAGAATTTGTCGGGGCTAGATATAGAGTGTTTTGGTAATTACTAGTGACGTAGCCTTTTAGCTGAGTATTTGAGCTTGGGATTTTGCTAGTTAACTTTGATCCTGTAGTATAGAAGAAGACATTAAGTTTCTTGCCCGTGTCTATAGGCTGTATGTGAGGTTCATCTGGTTTTGTTTAAGTGTATCTCTGTTTCTAGCCAGTGTTCTAGAGCCCAAAATTTCAGAGAGGGTTTTCCAGGTTTCTTTCCTATCGCCTTTTATTTCAATAAATCTATTTACATAATGCAGTTGTGTTTAGCCTTCGTATTAGATTAGTGAGTAATGATGTTAGCCAATTCTTTAGTTATCAGGTCTAATCTGAACTGTTTGTCATATTGGTGTTTTTTATCAATGGCTTTGAGGATACTGTTAGTTAGCCACAGGCTGTTTAGCCTCTCTGCTGTAATCTGCTTCATTTTGATTGGACAATGCATGTTATAGAGGTTTTGGGTTTTATGTAAAAAGTTTTGAAACCTTCATCAATATTGTGGCTTTCAGCTAGCTCTCTCTCTGTCAGTCAGTGTTATTTAGTGCTGTTATAAAGTTATTTACTGATGACTCATCATGTAAGTGAAAAGAGATCTTGCTTGTGTTTTGAGACAATTTACGTATGTTGGTTATGAGAAAGGTGGGGTAATGTTGTCTGTGATTATACCTGCTTGTAGTGGAGATATAGTATGGGTCCAGATATGGTCAAGTAATGAGGCACTTGTCCATGAGATTCTTGTTGGCTTATAGATGGTAGTAGCAAGCAGTTGTTCATAGTGTTTGTGAAATGAGCTACTGGAAGGTCAGTTGCTTGGGTGAGGTTTATGTTGAAGTCTCCTGTAAATATCAGGTAGTGTTTATTCAACTCTGAGTCAGTTACCATGTGTCTAAGGTTTTCAATAAATGTGTAAGTATTTGTGTGTGGTAGACTGCTCCAACTGTTATTTTTTTTTTTTTTTTTTTAGTTTTTTTTTCAGGAGAATTTTGCAAATATATATTCACCATTATCATCATCCCTGGTGAAAGTAAATTTCATACATTCCAGTTCACCAGAGTAGTATATGGCAGTGCCTCCTCCTCAGTGATCAGGCCTGCAGTTATGAATGGTTGCGTAACCAGGCAAGGTAAATATGTCTATCAAGTCATATTTGAGCCAAGTTTCAGAAAGAATAATGAAGGTTATATTAGCATTTAGAGAATATTCAGTACAAGGAGGTCATAGTGTTTACTCAGTTACATTTATTATATCTATTGCATCAGGCATTATGGTAAAAATATTTGTTCATGTATCTGACTCGGGTTTTTTTTTTTTTTCAGAAAATGTCACATAGAGAGTCACTTCAGCTACTTGACCTTCCATGGGATGATGTTGTCTTCCAACACATATTCCCTTACCTAAACGTGGAAGATTTGTGTTGCTTGCGAGAGGTGTCCAAGGGGTTCCAGAAGTTGTTCATTGATTATATGAGCACTTGCAAAAAACTGGATCTCTCAGACTGTACCATGACAAATCAATATTTTCAAAAGGTGATCAAAATTGCAAATGTTTTATCTCTTTTCAAGGAAATTATGTGTGAAATATTATATTTTGCTTCAGCTATTTCTTTTCCTAGTATGATATTAATACTCACTTTTCAGTGATATTGAAAAAAAATACCCATTTTGCAGAACAAAAAAAAAAAAATTTTTTTTTTGAAGTTTTTTTGAACTATGTTGAGACTACTCAGAACTTCAGCAGCAGTTGGTACAGCTTTATGAGGAATACTTGGCAAGAGGAGACAGACAAACCATGGTTCGTGGAACCTTTTACATAAAGCAATTTTAAATTTTTCAAAACATTTTATTATTGCTCAGATTCCATGAACCATATTAGAAATCCTACCATTAGTAGTGTACTATTTTGGACAGCATAAAGCTAGGACAAAAATACACTGTATATAAAAATACAAAATATATTGGATATTTTACAGAGTAGGTTTGGTTCAAATCCATGGGAAGCCAGTGCCTTAACCACTTTTAGACTCTACATTATCAGACATTGTATATAAATGTTGGACAGATGGTTAGTGATGTTTATGCAGACATAGCAGAGGGACTGTACAGTCAGTCAGAGGTTAATCTGATTGTGATGTCAGCACACTTCTGAAAAGATGGTGATTGAATAATGGTGAATGTGTTTTCCTGTTTGGATCACCCTGCCTTGACGAAAGATGGTCTTTGAGTTAACAGAATACTGATAATAAAAAAAATAATATTTTTTTTATAAATATATTGACCGTTTCCCACCAAGGGTGACCCAAAAAGAAAAAGACACTTTTATCATCACTCACTCCATCACTGTCCTGCCAGAGGTGTGCTGACACTACAGTTCAAAAACTGCAAAGTATCTCCACCAGTCATTCAGGCACTGTATTTCCTACCTCCAGGACTCAAATTCATCTGGTTTAGAAAGACATGTAAGCAAACACTATGACATATTTATTAGAAAACATTTCGGTCCTGGGACCTTGATCAAGGTCCCAGGACCGAAACATTTTCTAATAAATATGTCATAGTGTTTGCTTACGTGTCTTTCTAAACCAACTTGTTGGTATTTATTACCAAGGTTTATACCATCAAATTCATCTAACCGGTTTCCTTGATTCCTTCATAAATGTACTTTGCTCAAACTCCAACAGCACATAAAGTCATAAAAAACATTTGCCTTCACTAGCTGGAAGTGTAAGCTCCTCACACACAAAACATTAACCCTTTCAGGGTTGACAGGCCCTCTCCCAGACTTGTTGTCAGGGTCGAAAAATTTTCAAAAAAAAAAAAAAAAAAAAAAAATTTTCTTATGAAAAGATAGTTTTTTTTTCTAAACATTATAGGCTAAAAAATATTTTTTGCCGTCAATACTTACCGAGATATGGAGGCGTGAAATTGACAGAAAGTGAACAGCATATGGCATCATCACTGACTGCTGGTCACCCGGTAATTGTTTATTTTTTTCAATTTTTTTCTATTATTTTTTTAATATTTTTTTCAAGTAACTTTTATGGCCTGCGAGACCAATATGAGCACTATTTTGTAAGTTTTTTCTCTTTCTATACTACACAATAACTGCACAAACACTGTTGTCACTATATTGTTTACAAAACTTGTTTACACAAATGAACAATATAAAATGTTGTTTATTACTATTTTTCTATATTTTATATACACATATACAGTCACAGGACATGTTTCTAGAAGTTCTGCAGCCTGTGGAAATCTTTGAAACATGGTGTCATGAACAGTGGTGTTTTACACTCCTCACACGTAAAACGAGTGTCTCTGTGTTGTTGTGGGCGATTTTTGTATGTGCACAGACGTAACACCTCTTCTGAGCCTTTTTCTTGAAAGCTGTAGCAGGCAGTTTTATTAGGAAGTGATCACCATGCTTCAGACGAGAAGGTAGTTGTTGATAATTTAGTGGGCGGTTTTCTATTGCAGGTGTTGTTCCTTGGTACTTGAATACTATTCGTCTGATGACAGACAAACAAAATTTGCCATATGGTACTTTTTCTGGTCCTCATCTTATACATATTATAAGCATTGAGCATGGAAATGTCCAGAATATGGAAAAAGAGTTTTATGTACCACTTATAACTCTTGCGTACACAATTAGCAAACCCAATCTGCATGTCACATTTATCCACTGAGCGCATATTGAGGGTGTAGTCCATCACAGCTGCAGGTTTTAGAAAAGGTTCATTGGTCTCTCTATTCTGCCTGCCAGTGTTTGTCATTTTGTTAGGGTGAACTGATGACAACAGTGTGACATCTTGTTCGTCATGCCACCGAAATGCCATGATGTCATTGGCAGCAAACGCCTGCACCTCACCTCTACAAGTGCCAGTGTCAAACCTGGGCATACGCTTACGATTTCCATGCACTGTGCCACACACATCTGTCATGTTCACTCGCAAAAAATCACTGAGTAAGGGGCTTGTGTACCAGTTATCAGTATGTAATACACCTACCATCCGACTTACGATCTATTCGACATACATCCACTCGACTTACGACCGTGATCTGGCAGCTGGGCTGGGCCGGCTGATGCACACCGCTGTACAATATTTGATGATACTCTCGGCGGCAATGCGTCATGCAGGCAGCATCAGTTTGAGTAACCCTGCCCTATCAGCAGCATCATACTGTATTAACTGTACTAACTGGACAGTAAATTTCACCATGGCAACTAAGATGAAGTCTGAATCTTGCACTGGAGATTGTGGCAAGAAAGGCTCTTACTCTCGAACTCTCTATTTGTTTTCACTGTTACACATAAACCTGTCTGTATCTGTCTGCCTGTATATCTGTGTCTGTCTGTATCTCTGTGTGTCTGTTTATCTGTCTTTCTGTCTACCTGTGTGTCTCTCTTTCTGTCTACCTGTGTGTGTCTGTCTACCTGTGTGTCTGTCTTTCTGTCTACCTGTGTATCTTTATGTCTACCTGTGTGTCTGTCTTTCTGTCTACCTGTGTGTCTGTCTTTCTGTCTACCTGTGTCTTTCTGTCTACCTGTGTGTCTGTCTTTGTGTATACCTGTGTGTCTGTCTTTCTGTATACCTGTGTGTCTTTATGTCTACATGTGTCTGTCTTTCTGTCTGCTTGTCTGTCTCAGAGCCACTCATTCAAAGTTTATTCTCTATAAGGATTACAATGCGGGGTTTACAGATTTAAGTTATTGTGTGGTTTACATGTAATAAAATACTAATTACAGAGGGGGCCACTAGAAAACCTAGCAAGGCTAGGCATTTCGGGCAAACTTAGATTAATTCTTAACCCTAAACTATTACAAACTGTGGAGTAAGCTGACTAAATACTATGCGACTAAATACTAAGTGACTAAATACTAGTTTGTGAGTTTAGCAATGTGAATGCTTTTGTTTTGGCACAATACATAGTTTCTATATTGGAGTATCACAGGCAAACTTGTGACTAGTTAGGAATCATTATTCTAAAATTAAGATACATATTTCTGTGCTTATAGTCAAATGGGTGAGTGAGTGAGTGTAAGTGTGAACCACCAGGTGGTTTTTATGTAGTTAGTTGACGGGGTGTATCAGGGAGATAAGATGTTTTCTAACGGTAGTTTTGAAGGTGATGAATGTGTCTGCAGTTCTAGAGTTTTCAGGTAGGGTGTTCCAAATTTTAGGTCTTTTGAAATACATTGAATTTTTGTAAAGGTTTAGTTGAACACGGGGAATGTCATAGAGATGTTTGTGTCTGGTGTTATGCCTGTGGATCCTGTCACAACTATCAAGAAAACGTTTTAGGTCAAGGTTAATATTGGAATTTAAGGTCCTGTAGATATAGATTGCACAGTAGTAAGTGTGGATGTTCTGAACAGGGAGTAAGTTCAGATCTATGAAGAGTAGGGGGGTGTTGCCAGGGATGGAATTTAGTGATTATTCTTACTGCGGCTTTTTGTTGGGTTACTATTGGCTTTAGGTGTGTTGCTGCAGTTGAACCCCAAGCACAGATAGCATAGGTGAGGTATGGATATATAAGTGAATGGTATAGTGTGAGAAGGGCAGTTTGCGGTACGTAGTATCGTATCTTGGAGAGGATCCCCACCGTTTTGGATACTTTTTTTGTTATGTGTTGGATATGGGTGCTGAAATTTAGGTTGTTGTCGAGGTATAGGCCAAGGAATTTGCCCTCATTATGTCAGGCAATTAGAGTGTGGTCGATCTTAATGTTAAGTTGCACAACACCTGCTCTGCTACCAAACATAATATAGTAGGTTTTGCCAGAGTTAAGTGTAAGTTTATTGGCTGTAATCCAAGTCGATATTTTGAGCAGCTCCTCGTTAACAATGGTGTTGAGGGTGGCAAGATTAGGGTGGGAGATGACATAAGTCGTGTCGTCAGCAAAGAGAATGGGTTTCAGGTGTTGGGATATGTTTGGAAGATCATTGATGCAAATGAGGAAGAGCAGGGGTCCAAGGACACTTCCCTGCGGAACTCCAGTATCAAGTGGCCGTATTGATGAGGCTGTGTCTTTAATGGTGACATACCGATACCTATTAGAAAGGTAGGATTTAAAATATGCAAGCGCATGGCCTCTTATACCATAGTGGTCAAGTTTGTGGAGTAGGATGCCGTGGTCTACTGTGTCAAACGCTTTTCTTAGGTCAATAAAAATTCCTAGCGGATATTCCTTATTTTCCAATGCTGTGTAAAGCAGGTCTAGCATTTTTATAATTGCATCATTAGTACTTTTATTTTTCCTGAATCCAAATTGGCAGGGGTTGAGTATGTTTTGTGACGTTATAAATGAATATAGTCTCCTGTGCATGTGTTTCTCGAAGATTTTGGATAGCAATGGTAAGTTGATATTGGCCTATAGTTGTTTACGTCTGTAGGGTCACCACCTTTATGTATTGGTGTAACCCTTGCTGTCTTGAGTAGTGTCGGGAAAGTGCTAGTTTCTAGTGACTTGTTAAAAAGTAATGTAATAGCATGTGAAAGGACATGGGCTGCTCGCTTGTACAATAATGG